CGCGCCAGGAAATCCCTAATATGGACAAAGGTAACCAGTTATCGCTGAATAAAATGTAGATAGAGAAATTGACTGCGGAAACTTGAAGACAAACTTATATTGAGACAATATATGGTTTATATATGTTCAAGCAATCTTGGTTATCTTTAGAAGGATAAAGTACATATACACACACACACACACACACACACATATACAGCTCTCTGCTTGCAGCGCGTCACTCACACTCAAGAAAGTGAGTGAAAAACACATCAAATAATACGTCATTAATAGCAGTTCACTTCCGTGATTTGGTACGATTGCGTTCACATCAGCAGCGAACCGTACCCCGAGTTCACTTGAACCGTACCCCAGACCACCCTTTTTAAGCGGACTCGGGTACGGTTCGTGGGTGCGGAAGACAGCGTTCACATCCAAACGTACCAAACTCTGACGTCAATCGAACCCGGGTGCACACCAAAAGTGCTAGTGTGAAAGCACCCTTAAACACTCGACTTAAGTTAATTTGGAGAAAAAGCATGTCAATAAAGGATATTTGTTGGACAACAGCTTTGTAAACAGGCTCATACACATGCAAAACTGTGCTACTAAAAATCAGAGAGCGATTTTTGTGCACTGTACAGTCCTGACTAAACCAGTTCCAGATTAAGGAGCTCCTCGTTTATCCTAAATTAAAGAAAAGAAAGTCTTTATCGATTTATTCCTTCCCTTTCTAGCTTGTACTTATTTGAACAATGCCTAAAACTAGGTATTACGAGCACTTTATATCTGTTTGCCTCTTTAAGAAGAATCGCTTTATGTATTCCCAATTGTAAGTCGCTTTGGATAAAAGCATCTGCAAAATGACTAAATGTAAATGTTTAGCGATAAACTCCTCAATTTCACATCCACCTTCCTCCATGTCGCTCCGCATAGTCTTCCCGCGATAACGTGTGTGAGACCAATTCTCATCATGGGGAGAATTTTTACCGGTATATCGCAAGGATAAGATATCGCCCATCCCTTTCAGGGGTAAAAATAAGTTCTAAATACACAAGCAGCAGATTACTATCAGCGAACATGAATGTGTAAATATTGCTGCACGCTTTTCTCTCAACAACAAAATGCATGCACAACAAAATGTGACTCTGAAAATGTGCAGCACAAAAGCAGTCATAAGTAGCACATGTATATTTGTAGCAATAGCCAACAATACATTGTATGGGTCAAAATTATCTATCTATCTTTTATGCCAAAAATCATTAGGATATTAAGTAAAGATCATGTTCCATGAAGATATTTTGTACATTTCCTACCGTAAATCAACGTAATTTTTGATTAGTAATATGCATTGCTAAGAACTTCATTTAGACCACTTTAAATATTGAGAAAATCTTTTTTTGAGATGGAGATTTTTTGCACCCTCAGAATCCAGATTTTCAAATAGTTGTATCTCAGCCAAATATTGTCCTATCCTAACAAACCATACATCAATGGAAAGATTATTTATTCAGATAATGATGCATAAATCTCAATTTCGAAAAATTTACCCTTATGACTAGATTTGTGCTCCAGGGTCACATATGTCAGTACCGGTGTACATCAAGACAAAGGCAATGTTGTTTTTCCTCAGGCATGTGTATAAAAGCTACCTAAATGTCCTAATTGAACAAGATCTAGGCCCCCCCCCCCCCATCTGTGAAACCAGGCCTAAATTGCTTTAGAGCAAGCAGCTTTACAGTATTAAACATGAAAGTCACGTAGAATCTGAGCTTCAGACACTGGTCTGCAGTGAACTCTCCACCAGAGCACAACATGACGCTGCTCAGTTACCGGAAGCGTTCGGAGGCCAGCGAGACGACCCGCCCGTCAGGAAGCGTGTAGTGCACCTCTGAGGAGCTCTTCAGCTCTGCGTCGTAATCCAGCGCCACACAGCAGCACCTCTCCTTCATCTCACGCACGATCTCCAGCTCGGCAGACGTCTGCATGCACACACCCTGCTCCAGCAGCAGCTGCAGCGCATCGAAAACACAATCACCAGCTGTGTGCAAACGGCTACAGGAAACAATCCAGTGCTTAACATTCCTACAATCCTTGGTTTAAAAACAAGATTGGCTGATTTGTTTGTGACGCTTTTAAATAGCAAACAGCATAGACTTTAAGATCTGTTCATCCAAATGAAGATCAATTCAAAATGAGGAATCAATATAATTCAGCACAGTCAAGTAACTAGTAAAGCAACACTTTACGTTCAAATTTACAAAGACATATCGGAGTTGCTTTAAAAGTAACGCAAGTTACGGTTTTCCCATTAATTGACTGACTCCTGTCTCAGTGTGGAGTGCACATGCACTTCCTCCAGACTGAGGCTTATTCATTTCACTTTTGGTGTGAAAGGGCCTTTACAGTCACCAAAAATATTACTTGTTTTTTTATATTAAACAACAAATAGCAAGCCCAACCCATGTGACAAAGTATTGCAAAAGTAACAACGAGTTTTTTTTTATGTAGAGTAAGTAATGCAATTAGTTACTTTTTTTATAGAGTAACAATATTGTAACGCATTACTTTTAAAAGCAACTTTCATCAGCACTGAAACGAACCATTGGAGAAACGCGAATGAAGCGTCAAGTGATTTTGGCCCTACAGTTGGCCTAATTGAGGTGCATGAGTAGTTATGGTATGGTAATGAGCAGTGCTCCTGTGCACCTTCTGGAGCTGCAGGGTGACGTGGGATCCGGCCAAGTCAAAGCGCTGCACGGCGTGAGGCAGACAGTAACCCTCGAACACCGGAACACTGTGACTGACGCCGTCCCCAGAGTCCAGCACCACCCCTACACACACAATCAAAACGTAATGTTTGATTAGTAATATGCACTGCTAAGAACTTCATTTGAACAACTTTAAAGATGATTCTCAATATTTTGATATTTTTACACCCTCAGATTTTCAAATAGTTGTATCTCAGCCAAATATTGTCCTATCCTAACAAACCACACATCAGTGGAAAGCTATTTATTCAGTTTTCAGATGTATAAATCTCAATTTCAAAACAAATGGACCCTTATGACTGGTTTTGTGCTCCAGGGTCACATATATGATCAACTAAAAGTTACATTTGACAAGACTAAGACCAAATTAAAAACAGCTGCCAAAATGAACACTATTCCACACAAAGAGCAGTAATAGGCGTGTGAGCGGAGCCGACTGACCGGTGGTTCGTCCCGAGGCGTAGAGCGCCAGAACAGCCTGCAGGGCCACGAAGGCGAGCGGGACACTGAAGGCCTCAAACATCAGCTCCACCGAGCGCTGGCGGTTCTGCAGCGGGTTCATGGCAGCCTCGGTCAGCAGCACCGGATGATCCTCAGGAGACGCACACAGCTGCTGGAACGCGTGATGCCAGATCTACAGCGCACGCACACGCACACGCACACGAGTATCACACTGAGCCACACCAACAAAAAGAGTCTGTACTTCTTAAGACTAGTGTCTGTTTATGCCCCACGTCAGTCTCGATTCATCAGGGCTGGTAAAATTAATGATTTTAATCCTGGTAACAATCTGCTTCTTGCCATTTAAGGATAAGCATCGGTGAGTTATTTATCCTTTAATTTTCATTATCCTGCACTGGTAGTGAGCCTCCACAAGCATTCATGGTTGCGAAATGTCAAGAGTTTAAATCCCCCAGTCAGAACTTTTTTTTTCTGTAAATCAAGACATTTTCTGTCCGATGTTTTACTTCACGTTCCCCACCTGGCAACGATGTGCACTCACTCGACATTACGAAAAAATGCGATGAGCTGAAAACAGAGATTCGTAGAACTACAACTTGCATGTTTGTCTATTGAGATGTTCTGCTTGAATAAATGTGTAATACAGTCAGTCTGTTTGCGGTGACTGAATCTGTGAGCAAACCGTGTGAGATGACATTCATGATGTGCTTTTGTTTTAAATGTTACAACTTTTTGATTGATGTAAAAAAGTAAAGATATTTTTCAATATTAAGAATTTATTTGAATGCATCACTGTTTGAAATTTATAAGAATAATAATCTAAGTACCACCATTTGGATTGAATGCAATTTTAAGTTACTTTGAATTTCTCATGATAAAAATAGAACTATAAATAAAATAAGTCAATTTTTGAAACCTGAATGTTTAACCAAATAAAGCAACGTAAATATTACTCTATTGCAAGTAAAATGAAATAGTTTGAAAACCTTTCAAAAAGTTTCACTTTCAGATGAAAAAGATGGATAAAATTCTCATGCTGCAATGATTGGTCAATGGTTCATCACCGAAATTCAGTGTGAGATACGGGCAAAAGGCGATGGTTTACACGGATGACACTCAATTACCCAAATATGAAACTACGTAAAAAAAAAAAAAAAATTTATAACAACTTCATCATATTTATTGGATTAAAGCCGTGATAGGTACATTGTGTGACATTATAAACAATCTAGCAGCCGAGATTTGCCTTCACATGCATACAGTACACTCAGGTAAAGCAGGAGAGAGGGTGTACCTCATATTTGGGACGGCCGATGACGGTGGGGAACACTGTAGTTGGAAGGTCCTGGTCTGCAAACCCAGCCTTTATCAGACCGGAGCCAGTGTCCAGCACGATGGGCGTCTTATAATCACTCATCTAACACACAACAGGAACAGACAAACAGCCGTCTATAATCTCATCGACACTCTACTGCAAACGAGAGCAACTACACTGACAACTAAGCCCGAGCAACATCGACAAGCTATATTCCAATATTTTATAGGGTTTTGACAATAATTAGACCTTATAAAGTAGACATTTTGCTGATTGCTTCGGTGCTGGTATCTTGGCAGGTTTAGTTCCATTTTCTGCACTGAATTGAGCTCCAGGGGTATTTTTGCGGTTTATAAGCAATGTTGGAGTAATGCAAGTCACATAATCAGATTACTTTTTCCAAGTAACTAGTAAAGTAATGCATTAATTTACAATAAAATATCAGTTACTTTTTCAAATCAGTAACAGAAGTTGCTGTTTCCCCATTTCTTCCCCTGTCCCGTGTTGAGAAATCAGGAGCGAGAGCAGAGACCGAGGCGCTTCCTTCAGTCATTACTCTTTTGTGTGAAAGGGCCTTCACAGTTGCCAAAACTATAACTTTTGGGTTTGTTACTAAAAAACAAACAAAGTCCAGTCCAGATGACTTTATAAAAAAAATAAATAAAAAAAAATGTTACTTTATGGAGTAACAATATTTTAAACGCAACATAGTAACGAATTACTTTTAAAAGTAAAAATGCAGCGTTTATGATTTCTAAAAATCAATAAGCTAATGTTGAATCACACCTAACCCTAACAGCACTTTTGCTCATGTGACAATGCTATATCTTATATGTGTCCCTGCAGCACAAAAGCAGTGTTAAGTCGCTGGGGGATATTTGTAGCAATAGCCAACAATACATTGTATGGGTCACAATTATACATTTCTCTTTTATGCCAAAAATCATTAGGATATTAAGTAAAGATCATGTTCCGTGAAGATATTGTAAACCCTCTACTTGGCAATATAATCGTCATTGGCTAGTACATTTGTGTTGACACGCCAGACTGATATACTATTTTACACACACACACACACGTTTACTTAGCTATCTAAATGAGGACATTACATAGACTTCTGTTTTTATATACAGACAGTTACACACTTTAACAAACCCACCCCTACCCCTTATTTTTTTAAAAGTAAACAAAAAAAAGTTTACTTTTTTTTTTAATAACGGTTTTACAAATTAGGACCTCCACAAATTGAGGTTTTTGCCGATTTTTCTCACTTTTGGGTACAAATTTGTCCCCAAAATATGGTTAAGTGGGTACACACACACACCTTATCTTTGTAAAATGGAACAGCTTCTTAAATACCGGTAACTGAATGTGCACTTAACTTCAGCCAATCAAGCATTATATTATGATAATTAAGCACCATTTAATGATAGAACTAAAACTTGGTAACCATGAATGAATATGTCATTTTAACTGAACTTAGTAGTACTACATCTTAAACACCACCACCACCACTTTAATCACGGTAATAGAGGAGCGCCGGCCAACGAGAGCTGTTCACGCATTAGAGCCGCCCACTGCAGAGAAACCAGCATATCTGCTGCTTGTTCTTAAAAGCCAAATAATTCTAAAATGAACTATTGACAGGAGTCGAACGCCTTCACTAGTTTACGGTACGTCAAATACAGGTGCGCTGCGTGCTACATACTGCGCATCCATTGAGCGCATGACCCACTGAGCGCATCCGAACAGTACAGATCACTTGACGGAGAGCGAAACACAAGCGCTCGGTCAGTGTGTTTATCGAGTGAAAATCTGTGTTGAACGCCTCACACCCTGACGTGTAAAATCTAAGAATTTATTAGCCAATGGCTAATGTTAGACATTTAGTTGCCCAGAGTAAGATTTAGTCGCATATGAGAGTGATTTACTCGCAATGAAGAGGGTTGAAATTTCCTACCGTAAATATAATCAACTTAATGTTTGATTAGTAATATGCATCGCTAAGAACTTCATTTGAACAACTTTAAAGATGATTCTCAATATTTAGATTTTTTTGCACCCTCAGATTCCAGATTTTCTAATAGTTGTATCTCAGCCAAATATTGTCCTATCCTAACAAACCATCTGAAAGCTGAATAAATAAGCGTTCCATTGATGTGTGAAGTATAAATCTCTTATGACTGGTTTTGTGGTCCGGGGTCACACATAAATGTATAAATCCATACAGGGGCAATTTCGCACCATATTGAATTTCAGTGACTACATTCCACTAGCATTATCAGAGTGGTGCATTTTATTTATTCACATTATCAGAGGTGCGCACTATCAGAAATGGTTTTTGATTTTTGCAAAGCGAGTGATAATTCTGTGTGGAGACGTGCCGATATCGCATTTGGTTTCGTTCTGTATCGCGTATCTTGTCAGTGTCTCCGCTTGCTTAGCCATTTGTTGCGGAGAAAATAAGGAACGTGTGTCCAGCTGAATTAATTTAGTATTTTGTTAGACAGGTATATATATATATATATTAAAAAAAAAGCTTAGGTTTTACCGCGACAGCGGTCGCACGACGGCCTCCTCGTGTGAAGACCGAAGAGCGTAAAGACCATCGACTCCACCGGGCAGAGACACCGGCAAAGGATAAGTACCGCTTTTTATTTCTCCGCTTTACTTGTTTCGCTTCCGTTTCAGTTTTTATAACCATTTCTTACCATGCGTCAGTTGTTTTTTTTAGCATGCAAGTTAGGCAGTGTTATTTTTTTAGGATTAATGAAACTACTGTCGTTTGATTTGTATTTGTGATTCACTTTAGTTACATTATGTCTAAAGTTTTTAGTGATTTAATTTGAGTTATTTTAATACTTCAACAAACTAAATGGAAATTAAATAACATGTATAGAATTTATAAATGTGTATGTACATATACAGTATATATATATATATATATATGTGTGTGTGGTTGTACATACACCTATGTAGTTGTTTTTTTGGTGTTTGGCTTAGTTTTATGTTAGAATCATTATTATACTCTCATACCTTTTGTTCTTTCATATTTTGAATTGTTTTAAACTTTATTTTGTTTTACATTTAAATGTTAAGTTTTGAAATTGTTGCATGTATTTGTCATTTTTATTTAATCCATTTTTAAAATGTGTATAGGTAGTATTTATAAAGTTTTAGCTTTTAGTTTTGGATCTGTTTTTAGTTGTTTTAATACTACAGTTGATTGCTTCTGTTGTCTTAATTTGTAAGTCACTTTGGATAAAAGTCTAATAAATGACTAAAATGATTCTAACTCTGATATTAGCGTAGTGTTTTCTGAGAAGGGCTGTGGTCTCCACCTGTCTGCTGGATGTGTGGAGCTGCAGCTGCTGGAGAGTAGATCCGCAGGCCGCTCTCGTGGATCCTCCACCGTCACAGACCGCAGACCTGGAGTCCTCGGAGCGCCCTGGGCTCTCTACACTGCACAGCACTGCAGTGTTGTTGTTGTTGTTCTGCATGAGCTTTGAGGGAACGACGGACAGCCCTGAGCCCACCCGCGCTACACAGTCTGATGGACGTCTCTCCTCTCGTCCGCAAGCGTGGTCGACGCTCTCGGAGACGCCTCCAGGATCAAACGCACCTCGCACATCACCACCGTCCCGAGTAGAGCACGCTTCTCCCGTCTCCAGCAGATCTGCACTGTCACAGGAAGACGCTTCTTCCTCCGAATGCTCAGCAAACACGTCTGCACTGGGTGGGATAACTTCCAGTTTTCCAGTCTCAGACAAACCGCTCGACGCAACAGGCTCACTGTGACGAGACTGAAGGGATTCAGAGTCGAGACGCCCGAGGCTCGCGGTAGAAGCAGGCTCAGAAGTCAAACTCGAGTCGGTGAGATCAGCATCTCCAGCTGGACTCGGACTGGTGCACTCCTCTGCGTTTGAAACCAAATCCGAAGAGGTTTCCTCAGCATCTGGAGGCGACTGGAGCCCACAGCTCCTCAACAGCTCATCGTCCAGATCTTTCAGCGTCATGACCGAACACGTCACAACCCTGCGGCCTTTGCTCGACCTCCTCTTGGCCTTGCCCGCTCTCTCCGTCTCTCTGCCCAGGCTTCTCTCCATCTGCTGCAGGAACACGCTCCTCTCCCTGACCTGATCCAGCGCCAGCTCCTCGGAGCCCAGACTCTCCGTCTCTCTGCAGCGCAGTGCCTCCAGCTTCACGCACTCCTGCATAATTTGCTCCTCGATAACTTGAATGCCTCTCAGCTCTCGAAGGATCCCGCTTCGGTGTTCCTCAGGACACCCTGTGTCCCGCTGCACAGGCCCTTCACATGTGGATGGACTCTTATCGGATAATCCCGAGGCGTCTTCACAAACCTCACAGGATCTCAGCATGTCCGAGTCAGGGGAAGTGAGGTCACTCTGAAGGACATCGTCGTCCAATCCGATCACACCAGATTCAGCCAGCTCTCTTGGGGATATCTGGAAAGGAAAATAGTGCACAGGCACGTGAGGCTGTGAGCAAGGACGTACATTTCTTATAGGAGGGGACAAAAAAAATTCTCAAGAGCAATTTTTGAAGGGGACACAAATACAGCCAAAATTGTACTTGAGGATAGATGCCTGTACACAGCATGAAGACAGTGTTTAAATACGAGTTCGGTTCATATAGGTTCACCACATGGTCATATTATAATTAAATTATTTTGCGTCCTACACATAGTATTTTAGGTTTGGTCTGGGACGGAGGACGTCTCGTATTTAGATATTCAACCGCAGCAAGCCCACTGATCATATTGAGCAAAACCCAACACATCGGTAGGTCTACAATATTAGCCTAATATCAGTTCACA